TCTAAAGGTAAAAAGAAACAGTATAAGGGAACAAATGGAGCAGGGGTTTCAGTTTAAAGCACTGTTTGGTTTTGATACAGTAGCATACACGGCGTAAAACAGGAGTGTGCAGGCTAGGATTGTGTATCTGATTTATGCGGCTTAAGTTGGCACATTCACAAATTTTCCGTTCCACCTTAAAACGTGCAGCAGATGCGCTCTGGCGCCTACTCCTTAAGGTAGAATGGAAAATTCCACCCAGAGGCTAACAGCTAACGTTCACTGTCTGCAAGCGTCAGGAACTTTAGAAAGTTTTCAACCATTACACAGAGCTAATGTGGCTAACAGGGCTCGCTATTGCCCCGCGTCCTATTAGAAGCTCTCGAATAAGCCGCAGTTTTGCAGACAGACTGTGCATGTAGAAATCTCTGGAACATCCACAATGTTTTTTAGGACAAAACTTGGACCCAAAAGTGGTCGAGTTTATCGCAGTGACGTTGGTGTACCATGACCAGAGTGTAAAGGTTGGCCTTGGTCAGAGGACACAGGTGTTAAATTCCCATCCAGTGGGTTAATATGGGACTACCAGCTCTAACAAGTGAAGCATAACCACTTTTATCAGGCTGTCGTCATCTGACACATACATAATTCACAGTCTAACATAGAACAGTCTTGACAAAAATCGGTTTAAACAGTTTATTATCCTGCAGTTTTATAAGGTTTAGCACTACTGCAGTAATGGTTTGCAGTAAGGGTCCCCCCAGATCCCATTCATTCCAAATGGGTGGGGTAGAGGACCTCTGTTTACTATTTCAGCGCTCTATTTTTACTCTTCTCTGAAACACCATCTCCCAGGCGTGACCACTCTCAAATGGCTAGGCTGAAACTGTGGAGGCATTCAAATCAAATATCTGTATTTGAAAAAAGCACAAACTGCATTCGTCATATGTATGAATGATGTGCATGTCCCCCTTTTTCCTTTCCTTTAGGTGGACGAGTCCTCGAGATTGGCTTTGGAATGGCTATAGCCGCCACCAAGGTGGAATCTTTCCCCATTCAGGAACACTGGATTATTGAGTGCAATGACGGCGTTTACCAGAGGCTGCTGGAATGGGCCAAGGCTCAGCCACACAAAGTAAGAAAAAAATCGGCTTGAGACACTTTTGAAGCTGTTATAAAATACTTGGTATACACACACATGTGGCAACACGTCCACTCAGGGACCCATGTCCTACAGGTATCGTAATCCATTTCCCAGCCTTTCTTTATCCTTTAGAATGAAAGGCCTCTTTTATACTGCAGGGCCAAACGTTTCTGAGCAGAAGTGTAGGAGGGTAACCTTTCCAGTGGCATTTCCACACAGCCACGGTTTGACACGGAACGCTTAAAAACTGGGCTCAGCGCGATTTTCTCGACATGGTTAGTTAACCGTACTCAGGGCCACAGAACCGTTCAGTGGGATGACATAACAATGTAGCTATTCACTGATTGGTTCTATGTTCATGTCGATATTGCCCCCAAATCCTGCTGCGTTATCTTGAAACCTGAAAACAATCAAATAAGTTCAGTTCGCTTATATGGACGGCAAATAAAAGCAGTGCACGACTTAAAATCCACTGTTCAATAAACGTTAGCGCTTCAACGTATCACCAATTTATAAATGTTAACCAATGCTAAGAGGAGAGAGTAGTTGGTTAGTATTAGCTTAGCTAGCATGCTGCCAGCTCTGCTTACCACAGAGCAGGTCAGATTCTGACTAACGAAAGCTTAACTGACAAATGTTTAGATAATAATGACTCAAAACTGAGGAAGCGAAGTAGAGCGGCTGGTGGTAGGATAGAGAGCCAAAACCAAATCTATTTTGTGGTTTTTGGAGCTGTAACCTCCTAGCTAAGCTAACGCTAGCCAGCTCTTCTCTTTTGGCTAACTTAGCTAGCTAGTGATCTACAGATCCAAACACCTCAGTACAGGTTTGATTGTGAGCACAATGTCGAGAGAATTGTGATGGAGTGACAGCCGGAATCTAACATGTTTTGTGGTGGTGGTGGTGGTGTGTGTAGGTATTAGGCTGCTAGCAGTTGGCCACTCTTGTGAGTAGTTTTCTTTGGTATTTCCTGGTTCTGATAGCACAGCACAGCAGATGGGAAAAGAAACAGTGACCAGTTTCACGAGTCTGCACCAGCATGGAAATTGTTTATTGAACATCAGTTTATTATATTGTATCGTATTTTTGTCTGCTTCATGTTATACATAACACCCCTGCTGTCATAATCAATTATTGCTCTGGTAATATGTTATAAACAATGTACTAATGTGTAATTAGCTAGTGTGTAATTAGCTGTGGTACTTTCACTCTTACAGGTTGTCCCCCTCAAAGGCCTGTGGGAAGAAGTCGTGCCCACCCTGCCTGACAGTCACTTTGATGGTTAGATAAATCTCATCTTAAGAGGGAATTTTTATGCCTTTTTCCCATTTTTTTGCATCAACACCAGAGGTGAAACATGCTTATTTGCCATTTTGTTACAGGAATCCTTTACGACACATATCCACTGTCAGAGGACACGTGGCACACTCACCAGTTTAACTTCATTAAGGTATGTTGATGCTGTTTAGCTTAATGTGTGGTAGACACAATAAAAATGAAAGTAAATTGAACAAAAAGAGTAAATGAGATGGCATGCACATCACTCTTTTCCTTTTTTTATTTCAGGCCCATTCTAAGAGACTGCTGAAGCCTGGTGGTGTCCTCACCTATTGCAACCTTACTTCCTGGGGTGAGCTCCTCAAATCTAAATACAACGACATCGACAAAATGTTCCAGGTAAGTGATGAGATTTAAAACTAATAATAATCTCATATTACAGCATAGAGCTGCACAATAGACACTATTTTTCTAAATATCACGCAGCCCCACTACCCAACGCTAACCTGACATGAAGAAGGAGATAACTGTGATAATCCAATATTTTTATGGCGCTTCTTTTCCAGGAAACACAGGTGCCTCAGCTGCTGGAAGCCGGCTTCAAAAAGGAAAACATTAGCACCACACTGATGGACATCAGTCCACCAAGTGAATGCAAATACTATTCCTTCAACAAAATGATCACACCAACTATCCTCAAAGAATAAGCTACACATCCAAGCTTCAGTCTTCCTGACCATTTTCCTGTGCCTTCTGTCTTTCAACGGTTGTCAAAAATGTTGATTATCTGATCTATTTTAACTTAAAATTGCAGCACATGTTTTATAACAAAAAACATAAACCTTTATATATATAAATAATTTGTTGTATAATCCAAATATTTTGGTGGAGCCCATGAAATGTGTATAACAAAATAAAGAGTACAACACTATGTAATCATGCTTATTTCATTAAAGGATTATGCCAGCTAAGGTACGAGGCGACAAGCATGATCTGTGTCAAAAATCAACACTTTAACAGTTTCATGTAGTCTTAAGAACCCAAATAAATCAAAGATATTACGGATGAAAGATATTGAGGAAGTTACACTCTTATATTTTGGATTTTTGCAAGAAATACTGCTATACTGAAAAACAAAAATCTACCCAAATAAACTATTCCCATATGGGGATATCGCTCTAGCAGTGGAAAGCCAGTGACCACCAGTTTGGTAGCTTTCCTGCTCAAAACACCTGATTCAACTCATCAGTTAATTACCGGGTTTAGTAGGTGTTTGAGTAGAAAAAAACGCTAAAATGTGTTGGATTCTGGCTCTAGAGAACACAAATCCTACAACATACCTTCCATTGCACTGAAAACATTAATAAACCCTCAACGTGCACACTTCGGCAGTTCCTGTAAAGTAAAGGTCACTGTCAATAATGATTAAGGAGCCTTATGTTGTGCAGACCTAGTTACTAGTGCGCGTTTTTATCTCTGGCTGGGAAACAAAAAATAAGATCATTATTTTATGACCAAGCCTTACTTTAAAACCTCATAATGGATCACCAAAAATCTGGCACAAAACACAAAAAAGAGGCAACATTAAGAAGGAAATGCATTACTTATTCATTTTTTCCTTTTGCTTACGGCACTGGCCACTTTTGATAACAGCTGGTAACAGTTGTATTTGGACAGTGACAGCTGTTATATTTTACGGTCCGGTCAGTGCACTCATGGCATTCATAACTGTAGAAACAAATGCTCAGCAGATTTTTATGAATTTGACAAGTAGCCTACAGTGTATCTATAGCAGGGCTGACCACAGTTAGCCCATGAGGATGTTTGATTTGGCATGAAAGAAACATTTTTACACTGTAAGTTATAAGTTATTATAAGTTTAAGTGTAATTTTATTAAATGTGTTTTTAAAAACTCTTTGAAACCTGCCTACCTTCTACATTGCATTGTTCGTTGCTGTTTTAGCTCTTGGCCCACCACGAATACATTACTTTTTATGCTCCCCAAGACACAACGTTTGGGCACCCCAAATTATTATTATTATTATTATTTTTTATTTTATAACACTGTATAACCTTAAATATGGCCCCAACAATCCTACATAAATATGCTTTAAAAAGAAAGCCAACCTTATGCAAGCATTTTATTGTCGCAATTTTTATAGCTAATTTAAAGATGTATCTGACCTTCACATATATAATTATTTCTAAAGTCACTGTTTGCGCAAAAGCTGACCTTCTATTACCAACATGAAATGTTATTTGGCTTGAATTATTTTCTCAGGGGGCCCTCATAGCCAGCTGTGGCTGTCTGTGTAACACATCTGGTAGTTTTCTTAGTATTCACCAGTGTTTTGAGGCACAGAATTCATTAAATATTCAGTGAAAAGGATATGCTGCCTTTGACCTCCCCAACTGGTGGCGCAAAATGGGAATAGGAAAGCCTACCTTAAATTCCATTGGGAGAAAACCAGGAATTCTAGCTCTGAGTACAGTTTGTCTCATCCAAAACTGGGTCAAACATTCTACAGTTTCTATGTTGTCTCAGAGAAGATAAACTAATTCTAAGAAATGCATCCAACACAATCAACAGACTATTGATACAATGCATAGTCTTTTATTGTAACTATGAAGAGGAGGAGATAGAGCTCAATCCAGAGCAACTCCTGAGAAGATCTTCCAAGTACAACAAACGACCACCGTTAAATAAAACATTTACAACAGCCAGACACGCATCACTTGCGATACCAACAACCAGACACACCTCACTTCCGATACCAAATTCGCATTTTCTTTTCCCGCTTAATTTTCCTCTGTAACTGCAGTGTTCCATAAAGCAGAGCCTCTGCAGTGGGTGGGCAGCCTTCAGGGAAAGACGGTCAGGAAAAAGAAAAGTCAGTCTCATTTAACTGCAGGTAGAATTTTTCTCCAGCAAATATATTTACGTTTTTGACAGTATTCAAGCCAGCATAAAGAGCACATTGCAGTGATACAGTAGGTTAAAAAGAACAAAATTTTAAGTGATACGTACCCGGAACATAAATGTCCACAGGGACAATTCTGTCACAGCCTCTGACCACTGAGTAGGAGTAGTGATAGTAGCCTCCACCATTAGCACAACTACAAGACAAAAAAAACCCACATTTATCATAAGACACTATTTCATTAACCTGTACAATAAAACAAATGAAAAGCAATTCCAAGCACTTAAAGATAGTGTGATTAGTAGGTCTAAGTATGTCTCAAATGTGACAATCACTTGCCAGTGTTCAAGGTTTACTCAAATAACTGTCAGACTTAGAAGTTTAATCTGCAGTAGGCTGTGAGTGTGAAATACTTCTGAAAGCATTTACTGAGGCACCACAAGCTCTAAACAATGATCCCAAACAAAGGGGTAATGATTTATTTGCAGAAAAAGAGTAAAGATTTTATCCAGTCATTGTTTTTATAAGTAGGCATCAATGATCAAGATTTGGAGATAAGTTATTATTGCAACAATAAGCTTTGTGTCAAAATGCATTCTAGTGAAATTTGTGAGATTTGTGAGTCTAACCCCTGACAGACTCAATAATCATGGGGATTAAATGTACAGTATCTGATTATAAGACAAGGAAAAGTCAATGTTGTGTACATAATGTTTGCCATTCCAGATAAACTTGTGGCACGGCAAGAGAATTTTTGTGCCATCTGCACAAACAGCAATGGTCATTTCCAAGAAGAGCAGTGACAGAATCATCTGATGCCCATCAATAATTCTTTTAAATGTTCAATAAAAACAAAATACCTTTGGTACTGAACATGCTGCATTAGAATAATGAGAATCGCCAACAACCACTCAGCTCTCTACTATACACCGATCAGGCATAATATTATGACCACCTCATTGTCTATTTTATCAGCTCCACTTACTATATAGGTGCACTATTGTAGTTCTACAATTACAGACTGTAGTCCATCTGTTTCTCTGCATACTTTTTTAGCCCCTTTTTACCCTGTTCTTCAGTGGTCAGGACCCCCATGGACACACTCAGAGCAGGTACTATGTTAGTGTGTGTTGTGCTGGTAGGAGTGGATCAGACACAGCAGTGCTGCTGGAGTTTTTAAACACTGTGTCCACTCACTGTCCACTCTATTAGACACTCCTACCTTGTCAGTCCACCTTGTAGATGTAAAGTCAGAGACGATAGCTCATCTGCTGCTGCAGTTTGTGCTGGTAATCCTCTAGTCCTTCATCAGTGGTCGCAGGACGCTGACCACAGGACGCTGTTGGCTGGATATTTTTGATTGGTGGACTATTCTCAGTCCAGCAGTGACACTGAGGTGTTTTTAAAAACTCCAGCAGCACTGCTGTGTTTGATCCACTCAGACCAGCGCAACACACACTAACACACCACCTCCACATCAGTGTTCCCACAGTGCTGAGAATGATCCACCACCCAAATAGTACGTGCTCTGTGAGGGTCCATGGGGGTCCTGACCACTGAAGAACAGGGTAAAAGGGGGCTGACAAAGTATGCAGAGAAACAGATGGACTACAGTCTGTAATTGTAGAACTACAAAATGCACCTATATAGTAAGTGGAGCTGATAAAATAGACAATGAGCATAGAAACAAGGAGGTGGTCATAATGTTATGCCTGATCGGTGTACAAAACACAAGTATTGTGTGTTATACAAGCAGGTCAGAAACCTCAGAATCTAAATAAGGAGATAAGGAGTTAGGAGACTAAACACTAGGGATGCTATACATGAATCATGCCTAAAAAAAGGCATCGGACAGGTGTTTAGAGTTGACCAATATTGCAAACCAACATTTGATGACGCATTTATTGAACTATGGAAGAGCAGAACGTTTGTGCAAAAATGTCTGCATATTGTTCGTTTTTCTGCATTTGTTATTTTTATATTTATCTGTAATACTACTACTACTACTACACTAAAATACTCTAGATAGACGTATTCTCATTTTCTACATTTTATAAATGTTTATGTATCAGAATCAACATCATCAGATATATACATGAAAAACACTGTTTATTGGCATTGGGATCCAGGATTCCCATATCCGTGCATCGATAATAAAAAACAAATTTTCTTTACCTTCCCATAGAAATGACATATCTTGGCTCAGGCATCTGATCATACACCTATCACAACAGAAAGACATTACTGGCACAATTAATCTCAAAATACCCCACTACAACCACACAGTCATTGTGTACTATACAAGGCATTCGAGTGTAGTTACACTATGCTACCATAACTGTGAGCCGTTTGTACAATCGTCCATAAAACCACCACCAATGCTGTACCTTCCGCAGAGCAGGAGCCATCTTATTCGTCAGTGTTCCAGCAACGATCATGACGTCCGCCTGTCTAGGACTAGCTCTGAACACAACACCAAAACGGTCCATGTCATAGCGAGGTGCAGCCATGTGCATCATCTCCACGGCACAACATGCCAGGCCAAACGTCATGGGCCACAAGGAGCTCTAAGATGTGACAGAAACACATTCACAAAGTTTGGTTAGTTTGCCTAAAACATCAGCACATCAGGGCCAACATCAGCAGTGGAAAAACACAGTACATACTCTGCGTGCCCAGTTCACCAGGTCATCAAGCTTGGTGATGACATATTCACCCTTGCTGCTGACCGCTGAGGCTGGCTTGGCTGCCACGGCCGTGCTTTTCCCTCTGAATGGAACCAGGCTGGAACAGACAGGATAAACAGTTGTTGTTACAGCTCACAAGACTCCTGAAGCAGCATCTCTACAGGGTTTAAAGTATAGGTCTGCATCACAATATCTTGCAGCGCAGGACTAACTGTTTAATGTAGTGCACGGGAGTTGGTGGGTAACCAGCACAGTTTGGACAGGAGCGGTACAACACATACACGGTACAACCATTCACACTAACAACAAGGCAGTCGCTTTCTTGCAGGCTGCAGAAACAGCAGAGACTGTCACATGGCCACATCTGTGAAAAAGTACTTTTTATAAAAAGTAAATAAAGGACAACAAACCTGACTACAAGTAAGTCTGATATGCGGCAGTCATTTTAATTCATATTTAACACAAATGGAAACTAGCTATACAGGACTGCGGACAGGAGCGGGAAAAAAAAAGTTTAGGTGGCAGGCAAGAATGGGACGATCTGTGCAGATTTTCTGCAGGAGTGGCCGGGAGCAGAATGAACTCTTGCAGGAGCAGAACTAAAAAAAATAATAATAAAAAATAAAAAACCAAAAAAATATCAGTCCCTACACAGACCTCTAAAGTAGCATTATCTACTCAATGTGAGCCTACTTTATTATCTCTTTTAAGCATTTACGGCCTAAAATATTCACAATATGTGTCCTTTGTTCCACTGAAATTTGTTAAATCATAATTTCAATAGCCAACACAATATTTCATTTAATTCAAATTTAACTATGCAGAACGTCCCTCTTTGAAATGACTATATACATGCACAAGATTATAACTTATTTGTACCTTTTAGCATCTTCATCCTTCTTGTTCTTGAATACAACTTTGTTCTGAGCAGCAAATAATGAAATCGGTCTGCAACAAAAACACTGTTTTATTAAAATCTGAATATCAGTTTTCATTTAAACATCAAAAAGAGTTATCCCTTTAGATGTAAGCAAAGCTTTCGTAATGTTTTGAAAAGTACCTGGTACAGGCACCTGCTAAATCTTACCTTACGGAATAGGAGCCAAGTGTGGCAAGGCGAGGAGCTGAAAGAGGACAACATGACAGTTACCAACAGACAAGTGATGGACAGCAAGGGCACATTAACTGAATAAAGGATGAAACACAAAAATACTGCTGAAGCAGCTGTGTGGGAACTCTTTACCCAGTAATGTTTGTCCGACACCAACAAAACCATGCATCTCCATTTATTTAATGACAAACTGACTAACAGAAATGGTCCAAAATAACTCTGAATAAAATCTTGTAGCATTAACTTACATTTAAACTGAAAGTTACTGTTTTGAAGATAAAAGGTTTTCCTGACAGTCATGATGTATGGTGCATTATTTCTGATTTCTACAGCTTTTTCAGACACCGAGAAAAACATCTACAGTGCTGTTCATCATCCTGGACACATAACAATTTTTCATTTTCTATGACTAACAGCACTGAAACATTATACATCTGCAACAAAACTGATTTTACAATAATGACAACAGTGATAGTTTCATGAACTACTTGATTTTCTGTTTTAATACTCCTTTTGCATTTTATCTTTAACTTTATTAAACAGCATTCTTTTAATTGTATGTATTGTTTAGCCATACATTGTGTTCTTTGCATTGTTTATACACACATTATTTGAACATACTGTGAAGCATTTTGAGCTGCATTTTCTGGGTAACAAAGTTATAACAACAGTTGAAGCCTTGTGAGTTTTTTGTGTCATTCGTGCAACTAATAGTCTAGAAAAGTTAAGTTTTACAGTAGCAGCCTAACTTAGTCGCTCGTTACTTGTGATTAGAAGAAAAGCTGTTTACACAACCGAGCTGATTACATTCACACCAAAGCAGGCTTTGTGCTTATGCATGTCTGAGCATTTAAAGACACTCCACTAGTTTATCCGCCCTTACAAAATCTTGCCTTTCTGCCGTTACAAGCTAACAAAATCATCACCCCATGTCCTGCACCTGTTTATAATACCAAACTAGGTTAATATGTGCCCAAGCAATAACGCAGAGAAACAGCAATGTTTTAGCGTGACTGCAGCGTGAAATACTAATCCCACATAAATGCCACAAACTGAAGAGCTGTGTCTGTGTGAATGGTGTTTTAGTGAAGCGCTCAGCTCGGCTGTTTCTCCTACAGCGGTCTCTGTGGCTCTGCTAGCCGTTAGTCGGCTAACAAGGTCAGTGAACAAAATCTCCGATAGCACAACCCGCTGAGCCGAAACGACGCCAGAGCTTGATAAACTAACGCGTAGTAAACTTAATTCTTGACCATACTGCGTTACAAATCGTGCAGCTACATTTCTGAGATTTACAAAACACCACTTATTTCTGACGACACTCACCAACCAGGGCCGCCATGGCTGCATAACGAAACATCCGGTGCTAAGGTTCTTCATCCTCTTACAGGGATTATGGCCGAATCTCGAATGGCTCCCTACTCCCTGCTCCCTACGTAGTGCACTACGTAAGTCTAAAAATGATGGCTTTTGCCCCCGGACAGTGTATATGCAAAAAAAACCCATTTGGGATCCAGCCACGTCTACACAAATCCCTACTGGACATATGGAGCACTATTTGGGGGAAGAAGCCAAAACTTCATATCTCACATAGTGCACTATATAGGGAGTAGGGAGCCATTCGAGATTCGGCGTTTATTTTCAGATGAAAACGGCGGCGCCCGAACACGGAGGGAGATCGGCTGAAGTGGAAAGACTGTTATCAGGCAAAGTGGAAAAAAAAGATTTTGCAACGGCATTATGTTCGTTTATTCCTTCGCAAACGTTTCGCATTCCCTCGCAAAATGCACTTCATTCGAAAGGGAACGCAAAATCATTGCAAGGGAATGGGAAATTATTGCGAGGAAGTATCATTAATTTGTAAAATTATTATTATTATTATTATTATTATCAACCACAGTCCGTAGCCCAAGCCTAAAAAGTACTGAACTACTGTTTCTTCGGTAAAACGAGTCAAGTAAAAGTGAAAGTATTTTTTAAAGAAAGTACGTTTTTAAGGAATCAACAACTTGAGTAGAAGTGCAGCATCAAAAGAATAAACACACCTAAGATTCCCCGCTGATGCACGCTGGATGTAAGAAAATAGTTCGTTAAATCGATTTTCTTATTTTTTTTAATTATGTATTCTCTATAGAAATACAACAACAGAGGAATATCTTAGTACATCCAGCATCTATCAGCATAGAGCCATATGTTTGTTAGGCACTATTATTCTCATAAAAAGCTGAAGCTTTGAAGAGCCCATATTTTAGATTTTTCTTATATTTTATTGTTTTCCCCTGAATTCCACTTTGTACGGTTTTGTACATCATCAAACACACACACACACACACACACACACACACACACACACACATACATCATCTAAACCGCTTATCCTTCTGGGTCGCGGTGGGGTACTGGAGCCTATCCCAGCTATCATCAAAAACAGTTATAATTTATTTTTACAGTCATTTTCCAGCCCCTCTTTCTCACTTAGAATTAAACTGGCTGTTTTGGTAACTGTACCTTTAAGACTGATATATGAAAGTAACTTCTAAATGGCTTTGATTGACATTCAAAAAGCAGGCCGAGCTGAAATGCTCTTTTTGTACAACTTGAGTGTGAATAATCGGACACTGTGACATCACAAAAATAATATTTGTTGTTTATATAGGCCCTTTAAAGTCAGAGGTGTGACCGACTGTAAAGCAGTACATATGCTATCACCAAGATAATGAAATTAAACAGTTAGTACCAATGTTAATAAGTGAAATACAACACCTAGAGTCCAGCAAAAAGGTACCTGAGCAAATGTAACTAGTTGTTACTCACCATTGCTTATTGCTAAACTATTACAAAAGTCCATTAAGACCCGTAACAAAAGTCAGAGACTCAAATGGACACCATGAAAGTGACAACTTGTCTCCTAACGCTTAGATGACCAGTTACAGATATGTAAATAAAGTAAAATTTACATGGATTAAATAAATCTCTGTTAAGCAGAAGCATGGACCTTACTATATCGCATGAAGTGTTTTAAATGGACATCTTATCTTACAATCTTATCTTAAAAAATACATCCCAAACCACTGCAGGAACCGATCAGTCCTTTTTTACTACATAAGGATAACTTCCTCTAATGCAGGATTTCAGATGGACTAGATAAGGTGCTGTTCAACAAAACACTGGGTTTCTCTCCTGAACATACAGCTAAACATGCAGACAGGCACAAAATTTACTTTATTTTTATTCTAAAAATTTGAGAAAGTGGCAGAGTTGAGGAATGCAATTTAGAAGTAGGTATCTGAACAAAATGTACAAATATGACAATGTATTATACATAAGGTGTCATGTAAAAAACATAAGATTATAAATACATCAAAATTATTAAAATGTATCAGGACAAAGGATTCTGCATTAAATTAACCTAATACGTACTGTCAAATTAAAGCATACAACCAACCTAACCTCAGTGAAGGTGGTTTGGATGAGTCATTACTTCTACATTTCAGATCTAACTGTCTTAACCCATTCATGTCCAAAATAATACAATAGAAAAATATCTTGTGCTAAATGGTCTAAAGTGGGAAAGTGTTGTACAGTCATACACTAGATAAACATCTAACAGATTCCATTTGAATGTCATATTTTGTTTAGTTAAATAATCAATGGCCAGGTGACCAAAAGATTCAATTTAATAAGTGATTTTTAGCTACATGGTTTGAGTATTTGAAAGGGAAAAAGTATTCAGATTTGTGCTTATGTTCTCAAAAGAAATGTAATATTTTAGATATGGACATTAATGGGTTAATGGGGAACAACAATTTTTAACTTTCAAGTATGGCTCAAAACGCATCAGCCATTCTGCAACTGGAATGGAGAAAATAAAACATCCACCACCAGAGCCAATCACACTGGACAGATACATGTCTGGCATATTTCCTAAGCACCACACAGAAGTGTCATGTGATTTGGTGAAATGGCTGCAGGTAACTCCTCTTTTAGTTTTTACTTACTGAGAAGACTAAGATTTCTGCAGAAGTTCTCTTAAAAGGCATAGTATGGCCATATCTAACAACTGAAAGTCAGCAGAATTCCCCTTTCAGCATGCATAGTAAAAAGAACGGAAAAAAAATGACTGGACCCAATCAAAATAATTCAGTCTTCAGGCAAAAGTGAACTGGGATTAAACATGTACATCTACTGGGAAAAGGGTGACACCATTATTTACATCTAGCATTATTATTATTTACACAAAAAAGAAACCATATATACATGAAAGAGGACTCAGAACTTTAATCCTCAGACAGCAAACGGTGAAAATGGTCTGTCCTCCTCTTCAGAACAGTCCTGAAGTCGTCCTGTAACAAAAAATTAAGAATGGAATTAAAAATGTGCTGAATTGCTGTTGAATTATTCATCAATCTCAACTACTCTTTAAGATGCACTCCAAATGCTGAAAATGTCATTTTAAATAGGTCAGTATGCTATTAATTTCTGAATTACTGTATATTTATACTTTGCATTCAACATCATTCAAAACATTACATTCTGTTTAACATCTCTGAACTATTACTGAAGAGGAATGTGAATCATTTCTAAACTGTTAAAATCTTAACATAACAGATGCACACAAGGATTAGTATAGAGTTCTTATTTTCTATACTTACACAGTTGCTCTGTGTTGCACTGTCAAACCTAAACTATTACATTCTGATACACCATGCAGTACAGTCGAATGCAAAAGTCTGAACCAGTCCAACTACACTTCTTGTTGATTTTCTAAATGAAAACAAGTTAACCCAATCTCTATTTATTGCTATAAAATGTGCCACAACTTCTGCACAGGCCATATTTTTGGCACCCCCCACCCAAACATGTTAAATTCAGTTTCCTTAAAGAAAGAAAACACACACACAAGCAAACAAGTGAGTGTCTATTAAAATGTGTTGAAGTGTATTCTCTATAAAAGGTTGTACACTCCCACTCCCCGCCAATTCCCCCAAATATGTAATCTGACCAGTGGCACCCAATTTTTGGAATACGACTATACTGACTTTGCAAGTAGTGATTCAGTAATGTGGCAATCACTCATCTGGAGTGACCGGTCAAGATGCTCCCAGGACAGCAGAACACATTGCTTATTTGCATGTTGCAGCCTTTGGCAATATCGGTATTGCAAAGGCCAGTAACTGTTAACGATTAACAGCAGATAATACACAACCGCATGCAAAGAGGCCACTGAGAGAACTTACTGCTTGGACCAGTTTTTCTAGGTAAGGGACGAGCCTCTGGAGCTCTTTGTCGTCTTTGTCTCCAGACCAGCTCTTTATGGGAATCATGTTCATTAGCTATAGCAGAGGAAATAAATAACTGTGAGAGTACATCTTCATAAAACTTCTTCACAAGCTTAGAATCGTTCCATTGAATGATTTAGTGTTGCTCCTTATTACAGGATATGAGAACTACTCAACATAAAAACAATGGATGCCAAAAATAAGAGTAAGCAAGCATACATGGTATGGGAAAGTATGAGGTGCATTGTCCAGAATCACTGTCTTTGAAAGGTCTCTTTCCAGCACCCCCAAGTCCTTAATATAGTGTCCGAGAACACAAGCACAGTCGTCCTGATACAAACGGTGCCTTCAAGAGAATTCCAGAGAAAGGACAGAAAACAAGTAATTAGGTTTCTCACGACACACTATACCATACTAATAATTATTTGTACACATAATTAATCAAGCAACTTACCTGAACAGTTTTTTTTTGGGGTCCAATATGTCCACAATCATTTCTGCATATTCTTTTTTGGCAGAGGTGTAAACAAACATCTGCAAATGACAGAAAAAAAAAAACATGTCTAGGAAATGCTTTTTTTGAGGACAAGTCTGGTTCATAGACAGAATTTTAATTGAAACCTGATAAAATATAGTGTGATGTTAAAAACAAAGTGCTTATTTAAAAATTACTTAGCACTATGTTTGGTTGGCAACTGACACTACATGAGTCAACATTTAGTTTAACTCTGGGTTACATTAAGCAAAAAAATAAATAAATAAATAACAGACATTTCTAAAAAGGCAACCACGCAAGCAACTTCCTATTCCACTATGACCAGACCTGTAACAATGAGTCAGTAATGTGCAATCTGCAAAAAACATTATTTATTGTACTAGTAACGTCCACCATCTATTTAAAATAATCGTGTTATTTTACCTCAAAATGTTTTGCCATAGCTTGTAGAAACTCATTCACATGTGGCCTTAGAACCACATATACCTGTAATTAAAAAGAAAACACAAAAAACAGTTACAAATAAACATGCTTGCAGCATGGAGCATGGTATGCAAACAGGCAAAGGAATACAAAATAAAACAGACTAACCTTGTACTCTTGATCTTGGAAGCATGTGTTAAACGTGTACTCAGCATCTTCAATCACATTAAGTGAGCTGAACACAAGTGTTTCATCCTAAGCAGGAGAAAACAGTAAAGCATTCAGTAACAATCTATTTTAAAGATTTGTGCATCCAAAACATAGAGTTTTTTTAAAACCTCACCAAATCTAGCACCATAGTGGCTGCAGGTGTGCTCCTTGTCTTTGGTGGGATGTCCCGGAGAGCAGAGGCAGGTCTGTACTGTTGTGACTGGTTTGGAATGTTTTTGATGAATGTGAATCTGTGGGATAACATATTAAACTACATGAAGGCAAGAACTATACAGTGTTAGACTCTTAAAATCCTTTTGTGTCCAAAGATATGAAACAAATGTATAAACTGTATAAGTAAAAGAATAGAAAGAAAAAAAATATATAAGCAAAATAAAAAAAGGAAAAATGCATGCACTTTCCCATGCACCATGTTACACAGACTTACGGGCTGAATACTTCATCATTCTCCTCGTCTTCTGAGAGTGGGCCAGTGGAACTGTAGCCAAACACACACTGTTCAGGGCTGAACACTGCACCACTGCTAGACCGCTCATCTACAATACAGAAAAGACATTTTTTTTTTTTACTTGGAGGGTCATTCGCACATTACAGCCTTCCACAGTATGATTATTGCACAAAACAGTTATTATTCTCAGCCTAAAATGTTGCTTATGCAATGGTACAGTTACAGATACAGTAATATAAACTTTGCTAGAAAACAGTTTACATTAACTAATGTCAACACTGAGTGAGGCACTTCTGGCTATTGCTTAGTGAACAAAAACTTGATTAGAAAGCAGGGACGCGTCCATACAGGAATTGTGGGCCAATGCTTCTATCTAGTATTTTTAAGTATCTGCTGATGCCTACACATGAACATTAATCAAATTAATAAACCAGAAATACATCAAATTAATTCAGTATTACAGAGAAAAATAAAATGTATTTCTGTATGTTATAAATGCAACAAAATCACATTCTTAAACACTGTATTTTTCAGTTAAACAGGCATCACAATGACAGTTCCAAGTACATTTTCAGTTCAACGGGTTCACCTTTGTGCTTTGTAATTAATAGAAACCTGTTGTTCCTTCAGTGTCTTTTTTTTTTATTGGGAGAAAAGTCTTTTTAAATTCAGACTGATGTTTTCACCTGGACTACAACAAATGTCATCAAACATATGTTTGAAATATTAGCCAAATGTAAACATCTGTCCAATGTAGACAATTTTAAAGCAATTATCTGCCAACACTGATATGACTAAGATATCTTTGTGCATTCTTATTATTTATATACTTATATCTATTTAAATACTATATACAATTTAGGATTACACAGCACACAGATTCATGTAATTTACTCTTTCAGAGCTGATGTTGCAACACTGGCTCATTCAAAGTACATGACAACACTATGCACAGTGTGCACTGTAAACGCACCTCCAGTACTGAGTAAATGCAAGGCTCAGTGACTGTGTGCCACAATTCAGGGTACTTACTGTCTTTGGTGGGAGTGAGGAAACGCACTACAGGAGAGTAGAGGCTGCGTGCAGCGGGGTTGACTGATGAGGGATGCCTCTCTCGGCGATGGCGGACTGGCGTCTTGAAATCAGATTCTGCTGATTCGGGAGCACAACTCAAAAGTCAATTCTCCTCAGCTTTACAACTAAATATTACTCTCGGTTCACAAACAAAAAACAACAATGAAAGGCACAGCCTATTTCAAACGATAATATTTTAGATTTTTCAATACTGTGCTGAAATTATTACACACTTATTCTAAACGAATTGTACCTTTAGACTCCTCGACTGGTAGGGCCCTCTTCCTTCCACGTTTCAGACGTGGGCGCTTTGCTGCAGTTGGGACGGCATTGCAGTACAAATTGGAGCAGTCCTGCAAAACCTCCTGCACATCCTACATTCATTCACAAACACAAGGGAGAAAGTCAGAGGAAATGGAGCTGTTAAACATGCCATTTCCCCAGAGAAGGGTAAAGTAAAACACCTACTGGACCAAGGCTATGGATACTTTCCTTGACCATGTACAACACGAATAATAATGGCCCCTTCATGAATATGGACTAGGAAATACAGATACAATTTTTCAGTCGCCCTGCAGCGACCATGTTCCATGAAATCAACAGAGATGGGTAGCAACTAGCTAGGTTACATTTACTCAGTTATATGTATTTGAGATTTTTTTTATATTTATATTTTTCATATTTACTCAAGTATATCTGTACATTTGTGAGGCAACGCATAAACTTTTTCAGCCATTAAACTTCAGTTCCTTCCTTTACCGTGTTTACTTCATTGTTATGTTGGTGACAGTATCTGCGCTCTACCGTTCCACCTTAAATGGTGCGGCGGTTACATGCTGGGGCCTGGGGCGGCAGAATGTAACTGCTGCGCCATTTAAGGTGGAACAGGAAAATTCAAACAAAAAGCTGCGATAAGAAGCTTAAGCTTCAGCTTAGTCAACTCTGCCCATCCCTGGTTATCCATGTTTTATTTCCCATTCCCGGGGGGACCGTGCTTTGTAGCTAACTTACAATTTAGAATTTCCTCATGAAAACAAAAAACAGCGCCACCTCTCCCCTCAACAGAACTTAGCTGGCTGGCTAACGGCTAACAATTCTGGGTACAGGCCTAACTTAGCTCCATTAATCCAACCATGAAAAATGTGTTAGTTCCTTCAGAAATACAGCACACCAGTTCCACAAGTTTATATAACCTGATAACGATCTAGACAGCCAGCTAGGTGCGCGTTAGCTAACGTCAGCTACGATGGCGAATGTTACTTTATAGCTAACTAGCTAGCGTACAACTTTAGCAACGGCAGGCTAACTAACCATTCCTAAAACCCAGCTAGCTTAACCAGCTAATAAGCAAACGTGTACGTTGACACATAATTCATTCTATACAATGGAGGCACAGCTAAATGAGTACTTTTAACCCCTATTTTCGGTCGGACTCACCTGAGAGCGGCTTTGCTCTATTCGCGGAACTCGATTCAAATCCGGTCGACGACGACAAGGAGTCCTCGGCGAGTTGAGTTGAGGCGACGGGTTATCAACAGAAACAATTCTCGACCGAAGTCTCATGTTTACGAAGCTTATGTTCCTACCTAATAATGAGAGTCTAGGACTGAAGCGAACAAACTCTTCAAAACTCTTGCTGCCGTCCCAGATGGCAGCGTTGTTGTTGTTGTTGTTGCCGTTAAGCTACTGTTACTGTAGGCCCATGCAGTTTCTGCTCGACCTGCTCTTTTTAATTATTTAAATATGCCGGTAGTGTTGCTATAGGCCTTCAGCCAATCACGACAAAGGGTTCGTCCAATGGGCGGGATTTGAATGCAAAAGTAGCAACGTGAGGCAGGAATCACGTTGGTAAGTCCAATAAATAGTGTAGGGGGTTAAGAGACAATCTTATTGAAACAAGAGGAAACTGCGTTACAAATAGCTTAATACGGTGTTAATGAAACCGACCACGGTTCTAACACGTTCTAGAGAAAGACATGCAAGATAATGTGGTGCGTTATACACTTACTGGCCACTTTATTAAGTGCACCTACCATGCACTCCTTGTCTATTTTAATAGGCCCACTTATAATAGTTTTTTTGTAGTTTTACAATTAAATAATGTAGTCCATCTGGTTTGTCTGCATTAATCTATTAGCCCCCTTTCTTCCGTTATTGACCACCACTGAGCAGGTATTGCATTGGTGGTTGGTGGGCTATAATCGGTCCAACAGTGAATAAAAATGTTTTAAAGATACAGTAACACTGTGAGTGATTGAGCTCTCTAGAGTGATGGAACCATCCAATGCGTTTGGGAGGAGTTGGAGTGGCACTTGTGATCCAGATCTGCTCACCCAACATCAGTACATGACCTCACTAATGCTCGTCAAATGCAATCAAATTCTCACAGCTATGTTCTGACATCTATAAGAATAATATATAATGATAATGACTGACTAGAACATTGTCTTTAACCAGAATGTGTTATTAGCCTCTTTTTAAATAAGAGACCTTTGAATTTTTATGCTGAGAATGACTTGGCCTTAGTAAATAGCATATGGTTTAGACAAGAAAGCTTTCATTTTTGCAAATGGGTCACAACCTGGTGATATGATGATTATGATAATTATACTAGGTTAATTCGCAATCTTCTAAAGCGTAATTCTTTTTCTTTAAATATATTAAATAGCTACAAGCAGCATGATCAGATCAGGCCTGCATTTTATTATATATATCCATCTTTACTTACAATTCAAACTCTGAAGGTATAATAATTATCCTAAACAGTGAAAAACTGGTGACAGATACAAAATGTAAACGTCTCAAAACAACAAAAAAAAAAGTATATGATCTACATTAAAACTGTGAGCAACAAATGTGTAGCCTAGTGTGGACCAGACTGATCACCAACAGAAAAAAAACACAACACGCACCTTTTAAACAGAAGCTGCATGTAATTATTACATTACATTACATACCAACACATAGCAGACATCACTGTTAGAAATAATCCTGTAAAAAAGTGAAACCATTTTGGTATGAGTGAGAGGTTTTGTGTTGAGCAGTACAATGTCACTGTGTCACACTCTGAATAGAACATTCTCATAAAATAAAAGTCCTATTATAATCTAAAAAAATGAGTAATTATAAATCCCAACTGTTAAGGAAATAACTGCACTTCTGTAGACATTCATTGAAAAAAAATTATATTTGATATATCACTTCTCAAATAAAGTTAATTATTCACACAAACGCATTTTGATTAAATAAGAAAGGACTGTATTTTTCTTTTTCACCCCTTAGAGAACAATGCAGAGCTGTCAGGAGGCGGTTACAATCCCTTAAGATACCAAAGAAGTCAAACATTTTCAAAAGAACACAAAGACAGATTTAAATTATTAACTTACAGGTAATCCCAGTTCAAAACAGTGGTACAACATTGCCCATACTCCTGCTTCTCTTTAGCTCTGAGCAACTCCCATAAGTGGAATAATGTTTTATCATTAAGGTTTTGTCCAAAACACCCTAAAAAATAAAAAACAGACTAAGAAAAAGTATCCAAACTCACAAACTCACACACACACAGTGATACGAGACATTCTGTAACACCATTACAAAGGTACAATTCATTTCTGTGTACTAAATGCACTAAGTTATGACCATAGTCCTAAAATGAACATATCCATACATCTGGAGGTAGAAGTGTATTTCCTGAGAAGACGACAAAATGCCTTGTTTAAAAACCCAACTATTTCCACGTGTATGAAAATAAGCTAGTTAACCCAACCAAAGCTGGCACATGGGCCCAGCATTCCTCCTAATCATATTATAACATCACAACATGTAGTCGCTGCTGTGAGAGAACCTCACAGAAAATATATTAATTAAATTCATTTGATCTTTCACATGGCCAATTTCAAAACTGACGCTCCACCTTATGCCCTTTGGACATTTCACAGCTCTTGGAACTTAAAAAAAAAAAAAAGGAAAATATTTTTGTAATGACTAAGCCAAAATAATTTTAAATAATATGCTTTTCACATCTGAAGAACTGCTATATTTTAAGGCCTTCTCATGACAGCGACAATCTGTAACTACAATTAAGAATCTACAACAGCTTTCTAGCTGTTTACATCCCAAAAAAAAAAAGCGTCAGTCTTAGTGTAACATCAAATTGTAGGGAAAGAAAAGCCAACAAAATTGTCAAAGCATAAGGCATCCTATAATAAGCGTGAGCATGTTTGCATGATTCCACAAAGCAGTTCTGGTTGTCTTTGCAATATACATATACAGTGTCCTCCAAAGTGACTGAAGCAGTGAGGTCAAAATGGTCATTTCTTTTTTATACTCTCCAACGATTTAAAGATAAAAAAAACGAAATCTGATGTAAAACTAAAAAAAGTTTTTTTCATTTCCAGGCAATTTTCAGCATAGTGATTAATGGAGATTTCATTTAGATGACTGTATACAGTCATAGGGGTAAATTTAAATTAAAACTGAACACCTTTTGTTTTCAGTCCTAACCAGCTGAGTAAGAATTTGACTTTTGTGCTTCAACATATTTAGAGGGCACTGCGCATTTAAATTTTTTAAGGCTCAAAATACAAAGTAGATCACATGCGTCCCTCCAGAAATCCCATCAGCCCACAAAAACAAAACAAGACACGGGTAAGAAGAATTTTTAAGTAAGAGAGTTGTGTGAATTCGATTGCCATTGAGGTCAATGTTACACTCCATCCACTAGAGTGCAGCAAACTACTGTTCACTGCCGTCTCAAAATCAAATGTTATTTTGGAAGTTGTGATTAAGGTTAAGATTAAAGTTCATCCCACAAATTTGAAAAGCAGACAGGCATCACTTCAACAAACTAATGAACATTTTACATCTAAGAATATGACATATCATAGACATACACCACACGTTCATGAAGCCTTATAAAGCCTTTTCAAGCCGTAAGCTACACGGCGCTCTACAAATGGCACAGGTGGTACACTGAGGTGGGTGAGATTGCGTGTGCTCTGAAAATGAAATGAAAAATGATCGGAATAAGCTGCTGTACAACAAACTTGTACACTGGTTTGAATTATGGTGATTTGATGGTGTTGCTGCGACTGAATAAAAATGAATGTCTGAGGTAGAGAGAGTTTTAACAGTAACGTGCCTAGAAACCTATGAAGTATTCTGTCATTTCCTGATAATCATTAAAGCACAAAAAGTCTTCCCTGAGATTTGTCGGATACGTTGTACAAGAAGTTTCTAAACAGAGACACTCCTGCCTGTGTGAAAGTTGAAGTACCTTACAAGCTGAACTTTATGTACATTAACGTGCAGCACGAAAGTATGGAGTCAATATTTCAGGTATTTGAATGTGTGTCCCTGATGAAAAAAAATAATCACAGAAATCATTGAAAGTATGGTATTCTGTGTTTTCCTAATGGGTTGATATCACAGTGTAAAGAATTCTAATTGTCAGCAGGCATCCTGGGACTGATTGCAGAAGCATCTGATGGTTTCCTAATGGGATCTTAATGTGTGCTACAGGACACTTGTGGTCTCTAATAGTAATCATTAAGCCAATTCCCATTAGAAAGCAAAATCTTAATGGTTCCAACGGCCTTTATCAGCAGGGGTCTGAGAGGAAAAGCACTGCCAAAACCTTGAGGACATAAATTATACTCCAGAAATGCCTGTTTTGACTTTTTGGTTATGCACAATATGCCATTTCCCCTATTAACTTTTCTAGCATTTCTTTGCTTCACTCTGTCCTAAAATCTAAAGGGCTAGCTGTTCACCATGGTAGTGAGCTAACCACACTATTTGAAAGCCAAAATTTAGAAGATTTTGTCCCTTGATACTGATGGAGAAATTAGCAACCAACACTTAAAACGGTACACTAGAAAACCCTGCAACAATATGAAAAAACATACAATGATAAATAGCCTCATGACAAAAACATGACAAACATGTTAATCAGAATAATGCATAATCCTGAAGGAAAATGGATAGCATTTTTTCTAACAACAGTCCCTTTTACTGCTGTACCACTCCAATCAGAAGGTTAAGAGCAAACACTGGGAGCTGCCCCAACTTACCATAAACAAACACATAAAATCTGAAAAAAGTTAGTCTGTATAATTCACTCAATCTTTCCACCCACTTCACAGGACTATTGAGTATGAGAAGATCTTGATTAGTCTTGATCAAGTTTAGGCCATAAAGCTGTTATCATGGAGTAAAACAAAAAACTCCAATGCTAGCTCCATGAAAATTGTATGACAAAGTTAATGGAAAAGATTAAACAAGCCCACTGAAATATGCTCCACCACACAGCCTTATATGTCTATTTAAAAGCATCTTGTTCCTTTTTTAAAGTAACTCCATGATGTAACACATTGCTATAGGACATGAATATCATATTGTGTTGGTATTTGGTTTTGCTTCAAATCTGGCACTTCTATATTGGTCTAAGGTGAAAAATTCAAAGTCGATGCCACTGAAGGCTGTTATTTCTGATGCACAGATGTTTCCTGAATTTAATCTGATAACTTAATAGCAGATGAGCTTTTTTGAGCCAAGTACCTATATTTAACACACAGGTGTAGAAAACAGAAAACGTTGCTTGATTTTGTTCAGACTCGAAAAGGTCCTTGCTTAAGCTTGTCTGCTGCCGCATCATTTAATAAACCTGTTTGGTTGAATTTCTACTTTCCATTTTCTCTGTTAAAAAAGGCCTTTCAAATGCAATCTCGAAACCTCAGCACAATCTCAGCAAGATTATATATATATGATCTACATACACAGGCATGTGTACCCTGTCTTGTAAAAATATATCCCCGTATGGTGATAATGCAGCGTTAACATTCCCCACTCACACATAAGCAAGACTTTTACCATATTAGACTCCGGAACTTGCAACCAAAATAAATGATTGGCATGTCACTAATAACTACAAACTGTTCTCCACTGAGCTTTCCAAAATGCCAAGTGACCAGGCACTCTGTGTCAGAAACCAAGCACTGAATCTGACATGTTCCTGTTGGGAAGAGTTTAGATGAGTCTGCTGTGGCAAAGGCCAAAACTGTTGAAAAGATGTTCCACAAGGCACTCTAGATATACATAGAGTTTAGAACCTTTTTTGCATTTTATAAGTTTTATAACACTAATGAAAATAAAAACTGTATTCTGAAAATGTTCATTTTTTTCTCCTGTTAACGAGAAGCTTCATTGTCAGCCAGCAGGTGTGTTAAAAGTGTAAACAGTGTGCTACCGTTTCTAGTCTGCTAATTCCAAGCTATGTGTACCCAGAAAAGAAATAAATTATTCACAGATTTTGCATATATTATATAAGTTTATCTTTACAATAAACTCTTTCGTTGGTATTTTCTTCTTTTAGTTCATCTTGGCTACTGAACAAAAGATTGACAAGAAAGAGAACCTGAGATAGTGTATGTTAAATGGTCTGAGAATTTGTTATTCCTGCATCATATTTTTTTGGCATAGGCTTTAGAAAATGAGGTTGATTTTTGGCTTTAGCTAGCTTCGAGACAGGGAGGGTGTGAGGTGTTTAAGGTGATGGATTGGTGGAGGTGGATGAGGTAGGTGTCTGTGGAAGCGTCTGGGAACTGCTGCGGCCTCCTGGAGTTTTGTTAGATGCTCCTGATGAGGTTAGACCCGTAGCTTGAGCAAAAAGTACACCTGCAGCAAGCAAGGGGAGAAAGAGTGCATACAGAGTTAAAACAAACAAAAAAGTTGCATCATGGTTAAATTGGTAATCGATCTCCTCCTCTATTAACATTTCAGATTTCAAAAAGGACTATATAAACACTTTACACTGGCATGAGCACCACTTCTAACCCATAGCTCAGAGAGTTTTACAATTCACATTAATGCAATAAGAATTTGTATAGCCTGGGGGGAAAAAAAACAATTCACACAATTTTCTCATCCCTCAAATGCAGTTAATCAGCTAAGAAATTTTTGGCGTCCAAAGATTCCTTTTTTTGTTTTGGGTAAAAACATGGACAAAAGTCTGTCACAGAGCTAAAACCTGTAGTACTTTGTAAGAATGTTGTAAAATTTGAAGTGATCTGCAGCTTAGCTGACAGTAAGGTACTGTAAATATACAGTATTCTACTGTAAGACATTTAACAGTAACTTTATTATTGAAACTTGAAAGCAATAAAATCTAATTAAAACAGTACACTCTGTAAATCTACAATAATTCTGGACATCTTTTACAGCTAAATGATACAGGAACTGTAAAACCAAACCACAATTACACTAAATTACAGGAATTTCTGTGAAGGTCAGTTCAGGTGCCTGTAATTTATTGGACACTACACAACTGGACATCAAGGCCTGATATCCAGTGACTTGTGGGGGATACACTCTACAGATACTATATCACTATAGAAAGCTATAGCACTGCCTACAACAACAGTTTCTACATGTTTCACTGACTCCACCTTAAATAGACTATCACAAGCATAATATTGTATTTCATGGTTAGTATCTCACTTTTCTGTTATGGCTAATGCACAAACTTTACAAACACTTAAAATCTTCTTTTCATGAAATCTTGCATTTTGTGTTTATGTTTTGGAATCTTTTGTACTTTTGTAGAGATTCTAGGGAATTCTGGAATTACTAATTTTATAGTAACTTGCTGGGAATTAAAAAGAAAGCTGTTGGGCATGGACTTCAGCTCCCAAAATGCATAGCAAAATACAATATCACAATTTAAGAAAACAGTAAGTTATTGTAAATTATAAATTACAGCATTTTAGTACTGCAATCATACTGAAGCCTGAATTTTTGCCTGTACTGTTGCCCATTATTTTATAAATAATCATATTAAACAGCAACAGAAACTACATAATCAAGTCTAATTGAGATTACTTAACAACTGTAGTCTTAAACAAATGTGTGTGTGTGATAATATTGGCATGCAGTTTAAACAATGCTAACTGATGGAGTGCAAGATTCCATAACTTCTACACTAGGTAAGAGGAAAATTGTGTAATTTCTCTGTTTGTTATTTGTTAGATGATTTGCTTTCTGCAGGGGACTGTTCTGTAGATGCTGCCTTCAATGTGCCACTCACCAGTGTAGACAACTCCATTAAGTTCCACTGACATACTGATGCTGCTCATGCCATTCGTGGTGAGGTTGAGGGCCGAATCCTGTCTGCCATCTGAGATGGAAGAAAATCAATCACATATATGCTTTCTTGGCATCGGACTGATGTTTAGATTTGACCAATATTTCAAACCGTACACAAGAAGAATGTTTAGGTGATGTTGGACCAAAATGTATTTTATTCATTTCACAGCATAAATGTACAAAAGTTGAACAACAAAATCATGTTCAATAACTACAGTATATTATCTATCTTTTTTTCTCCATCATAGAGTCTCTAAAATATTGAATAAAACTTTTTTTTTAATTGCAAATCATCATTATTTATTATTGTATATAAAAACAAAATTAATTATGGAAAATGTCAAATGGCAGTATTGTACGTCTATCATGATGTTAGCCACATGACAATTTAAACTGCCAGACATAATTCAAGAAAAAGTTTATACATTTACAGGCTGATAACTTCATAACGTAAGAGAACATGTTCTCATAGTTCTCACAGCAGCAGGGGGCGATATCTTCCTACATATTTCTGAACCCAGGCGAACTCAAACGATGCCTGAAAAGACAGTTAAATTTGCTCACGTTTTACTATGAAATGTGTCAAATAAAACCACCAGTACTTTAACCACTTGGTTTTGGTTTACATCAAATAAAGGATGTTCCACTGTTTGTCATCATGGGGATTTCCCTTCCTGCTACGCAGCACATGGCAGCAGGTGAGAAATGGGTCATCACCTCATTTAGTTCTTACTAATCTTTGATCCTTTCAAACTTCACTCACTGCTTATCAAAGTTTCTCCAGAGAACAATTTCATCCTGTCCCCTTCTTTCACTATCGTAAACAGTAAGAACAATACTCTGCGCTGCTGGGACAAAGTACTTCAAGCCATCAGAGTTATAAGGAAATGCAAGCCAATGACCAAGATGACATATGCAGAAGAAGAAGCATGAATGAAGAGTAGTAATGAACAAATTTATGTGTCATAGCATGAAAGAAAAGGAAATGAAATGAATGGTCCGAAACACCCTTTACTGATAAGAGTTGCTACTACTGAATGAAGGTGGGAAGAGGCCTGGTTTCACTTCACAGAAAACTGTAAAGTGAATGCTGTTCAGTGAAAAGGCTGAAGATTTCAGGTAGATTTTACCACAAGATTTCAAAAGAAGTAGTTACGGATTCCCCTTCACCTGCTGTAAACAAGGGTTTCCTTTAAGTAACATAATTAAAAAGCACTCCAGAGTAGCCTCAATTTCTAGATTACAGGAATCCGCCTGCCCATTTGGGGAAAAAAGAGCACTTTTTTTCTAATTCATCTTTAGAGACATAACAAGGTGGAATTTAAGGCCATACCTCTTTACAATAGAGACAAGCTATCATACAGACTTTATTCAATCCATTTGGCAGGGAAACTATATTAGGAATTTACATTGTAATTCAATCTTTGTCAAAAATGTTTAGTATTACAATGACTCTGTAAGATGCAACAAATTATGATTAAATTTCAACATCTGTGGATTTAGGGACACAAACTCATGCGGGATAAAAACATAACATGGATATCTTGTGTAGTTAAACCGGTCTGAGAAGTGCTTTTAGTCATGTTCTCATATTACTTTAGCAACGTTAGCGAATTTTGACAGCAATTGGACAGATATTCAACGTTTTTGTACCATAAAAGTAACTTTTTTTCATAACAAGCATTTTTGACTACTGATTTATGTGAACACGTCACAGAATTCACATGTACATTATTTTTATCACTCTCTTGGTGGCTGTAATATTACACCATGTAAATAACTCACCATGAGAGCTAGCCAGGCTAAAGAACAGCCTCCACACAGCAGGGTTAGTTTAAGCACTCTCACAACTAAGCCTTCCAAAGCAAACAATGAAAGAAGTTCATATTTCTCCCATATACATTCAAAACAGTTGATTTTTTTAGGTTTTTATGCACCGATTCATCAAAAACAAGCTACAGATGTCTTGTAAATAAATATTGCAATATTGCTGACATTTGTTCTTCTACTTTGTGATCAAAAATACATTTTCCATGTTTGCCACACGCTATTCTCTAATCATATTTAATTTAATCTGTATGCATTTAGGTTGGAAAGCTTGTCTGGTTAAAAAACATAGAATTGTACTGAATTAATTCTGATCAGCATTAAGACTTCTTAGCATTTGCTACAACTAGCCTCTTATTCTGTTACAATTACCCCCGTCTGTTGGGTCGGTTGTAATGTTGGTACTCCTGACACTTTCGGCTGAATTGATTATAAGCGATAGGTGCAACGTATAGCAGAGATGTGTGGAGTGATTGTATATAAAAAAAAATGAAAGTATTGATAAAATACTTCGGAAATGATTAAGCAAAAACCAAAATTTGTTAGCTTGCGCCTATACTTGTGAATTGGGATGGAAATTTTTACTGCTGTCTAAGAGCTGACGTGGATTGTGAAGAGAGGTAAACCTAACTACGCTTTCAGGCTTTCTTGCTAAACATTTCATTTCATACACCTCTGCATAGTTGTTTTAGGTGGGAAAGTTTGTTGTGTTCCCCATGACAACGGCCAGCAGTGCTTGACACATCAGGGGGTGTTCCGAGGACGACTTTTTAAATGCGAGTCACACCACGTCTCCTGCTTAGAAAAAACATGGTGCGCTTTTTCAGGCAAAATAAGACAGCTAACTGAGAGAGCACACAAGACAGAGATGATCAGTAAACACTTTGAAACTGACTTACAGTCGTATGCAAAAGTTTGAACACCCCTGGCCAAAATATGTTTTGTTGATTTTCTAAGTGAAAGTAAGTTAACACGACCGCTACAGAGAGTGCACAATTACTATTTATTTGCTGAGTTTAACATATTGTAAATAAAATAAAACATACAATATGAAAATGTGCCATAACTTTTGCCATTTTGCCTTTTTTGGTACCAAACTAGTTGTTCATGTGGTCACCTTGTAGTCTACAGAGTGAAAGATTTCACTTTGGTGCTGTGCGCACATAACTATGTAACCAGTGCTTTTATTTCCAACTTTCAGATGTTGTTAATATTGGCCTTTCTGTTATCATAGCCTTTAATGATGTGTTTTATGTGGAGACTATGACAGAAATACAATAAATTGTGCTGCCCTACTGCTTATGTCCAAATGAAACACTGAGTCTGGAAGTACAGTCTTAACAGAAAGTGCTTGTGGCTGGACCATATGCAGCATGTTATGCCTCAGGCCTTTTTTACCTTGACTGTTGATGCGGATGTTCATGGGCATCTGTGCAGTCATCGCCAGCAGATTTTGCTGCAGTGCCCTCTGAAGGAGGCGCTGATGTTCCTCCATTGGCAGGGCCATCTTCTTCTCTGGCGGCTCACCTGCTTCCAGCTTGTCCCGCAGCTGCTCCAGTGCAGCTACCTGAGCGGCCATGGCAGCCTGCGCTGCTGCGGCCTGCACGGCTGCTGCCTGAGCCGCAGCCACAGATTGAGTGGCCAGAGCCCCGGGCAGCCTGCTGCTTGTGGCAGCAAGAGACTGACCACCATCGTCTTCTAGATGGAGAAGAGGGAAACAAACCAAAGAGAAGGGGGGAAACAGAAAAAGAAAGGTCAGGAGGAGGTGAGCATCAGAGTTATGCAGACATTTATTGTGTTGCAGAGCTGTTTGTAATAATATTTATGTTTGTAGCATTTCGCACATTTAACAAAGAGTTGTTTTATGAACAACAGTAAGCACAACCTTTAACCATAATAATTTACGGCAGTACTTCACTGTCAAAAAGGTAGCTCATTAAAAAAAATAAATAAATACAATCTCTGGCCAACAAGTTGTACAGCGTTAGAGACAATAGCTTATCTGTTTTTATGTACAATGTACACTTAAACAGTAGACCTACAAGGTAGGTGAACCGCATAAAGCATCCAGTGAGTAGAGTACAAAGTGTTTCTAATAAAGTGGAAGGTGAAGGTAATTAAGACATGGTACATTCAAATAAATACTAAAGTTAGCACATGCCAAAACATCATCCATTTAGATGAGATAAAAAAAATCCCTACAGTCTACAAAGCATTGTGACACCTTGAAGAATTCAAAATCTGAATGCCTGCTGGGGTTGCCCCTTTGCAGTGCCAGCCATATTTCTACTTGATGGATAAGTGAAAATCATACAAAGAGTCTAGGTAACTTCTCTTTATGTAAATATTCCAAGCAGCCAAAAGGATCACAAATAAGACATGGGACGTCACTGATCTGCACTAAACAGGGGCATCTAAATAAATCAAATTCATGAGTCCAGTCAAGCCTGGCCTTACCCTTCTTGACTTTCTGCAAGGAGGAGAGTGAAGCCCCATTGGTGGCCATAGAAAGGCCCATGCTGGGCATGGAGAGCTTGGTGGAGGAAAGCATGGTGGGTGTCCCGTTGGGGGAGTAGATGAAGAGGGAGCTGCCTTGCCGGCGTCCTTCGCGGCGGTTACTGTCTATGGCAGCCTGGAGCTCGTTGGGGTTGCTCAGACCCCGCTTTTCACATTCATATGGGTAAAGGTACTTCATGTATCTGAAGAGAGAGGATTGACAATGTTAGGTCTGAGACAACCAGAACTGAGAAATACCAATCTGATCTGAAAGACTTCAGAGCTGACTGAGGAATATTTCAATCAACGGTTATAGCATTAGTGCAGGCTTGTGTCGATTGACACGGTATCATCAATCATTGACAGTTCTCAACTATTGCAATTGTCAGTCCGGATGGAATGTTTTTGGATGTTGAAGTTGTCTAACTTGACGTTCATCACATGTGTCTCTAATGTTAGTCTGTGTCTTGAATCAGCTCTAATAGCAAAAACTACCAAGTCATACCAAGAACAAAAAGAGCTGACAAGCTACTGACCAAAAAGCATGTTTTATTTTCTCCAGTTTAGCAGGCATCACTGGGTTACATTAAGCCCAATATTTAGGCATGCTATTTACACCACTGTTTTAAAAAGTGACATAAATGAACACTGTCCACAACATGTGGAAATGAGGCACAGTTAATGAGCTTTTTCAATGTATGTAGCGTGTAACTAATTTGTGGAAAGTGAAAACAGGCCAATAGTCAGCATTTTGACTGCAGTTAAGTTGGCCACCTTTCGTCTAATCAAGGTTAAATTAACCTCACATGGAACTGGGGTGTGTGGCTATTACACACTTAACAGTAGCATATTTAAAGCTGAGAAAAAAGTACTTCTTGAAATGACTACTCTGTACTGGAAGTGTACATTATGCAGCTGTCTTGTATATTTTTAGAGATACCAGGACCCAGACATTCAATATTAAAGGATCTGGAATGGGATTGTGGCCAAAAAAACCTTCATCAAGGTCATCCATTTGCATAAACTCAGATGTAAAATCAATATTTGAGCAAGAAGAAAATATTCTGCTTGCATATCATCAACATTCCGGTTTTAGAGTGGTTTTGAATGCAAGTAACTTATAAAATATTTTCCCCTCAGGCCTGCAGAGCATGGGGCACTCACTGTGTCCTGAGAGTGAAGGCAGCACTGGTGATTGAGGTCGGCAGGTTCAGGCCTTTGGTGATCTCTCTCCACAGCTTCTTATTGATGACCTCGACCAGCCCCCCCTTCTCTGTCACCAGCTGGTACAGCATGTACAGATCCAGCACCTGCTTGGCCATGATGGGGATCCTGTTCACAGGGGTCCCTAAGAGAAAATAAAACCCAACACAGATTTAATAGCAGCATGTTCTTCTAGCATGAACATCTATATTTGGGTACATAGTTTTTGCTTTTGCTTTTAAAAGAAAAGCTACAAGGCTAATGCAGGCAACAAGTCATAGAAGCTTACATAAAGAAATAAAAGTACAGAGGTCGGCTGCTATTACATTTTTTAGCTAACTTGTGTGTATTACCGCATGTCAGAGAGTCAGAAACTACATTAAGAAGTCTCTTTGAGATTACTTAACAACTGAACATGATTTGAGGTAAGTATCGATTTACGTATTCAGCTTAAACAATGTTAAGTTGGGTATACATTTCCATTACTGTTAGCTGTATTAGCTTCGGTGCAAAACTGAAGAAGCAAGCTTCGGACACCAAACGTGCCTTGGTTGACTGACTACATGTGTCAATTTTTTGCCAAACTCTTCCTTTAGGAGATAACACTAAGCTACATAAGGTGTACTTTCTATGGCTGGTTAGGACTATGACAAAATTATTGTTTATCGTCCAGATCCTAATTTAGACCTTTGGGAAGGGAATGTCCTTGTCTTGGCACATTTCTCACCAATAGGGGGCAGAGTCAAGCTAACTGAGTATAAATGTGCTTCTTTTTTTCCTCCCAGTGTGTTTTGTTTGAAGGACAAACTTCTTTTCAGGACGTTCAAATAAAACATTTACTCGCATAAAACAGCGTATCAGTCACGCATGTATGAGAAAAACAATTCTGTGTGAAAGACTGTATGGTGGGGCTTATATCTCAGAAGTAACCAGTGATAGTGGCTGGACAGTCCCAAGGCCAAACTACAACATGTGCTCATGTTCACACACATACAGAATGTATCCTACATGTTCAGAAGCCATAGATCCAGTTTAGCGCAGTGTACAACAATAAAAATGCCAGCGGCCATAAAACAGTCATCCTAGAAATAAATATCACTCCATCGGGCTGAAACCTGAGCTGGGGGCTTGTGCGTCACAGTAGGGGAACAATAGGGGGTATAAAATCTACTCTCACACAATGCACTGAGCTGAACTGTTGTAGGTGTTGGTAAGGCAGTCATAGCCAGTTGTAAACAGTCTGTTTAGAAACAAACTGTGCTTCATAACTCATGCTTACTGAGTTTTTTCTAGCTTTTTTTCATCTTGAACAAAGTTAACCTACAAGTAAGCATCCCGACAATGTGAAATTCAACACTTTTCAGCACGTTTACTGTGTAACGTGAAAGCAATTTCAAATAAGTCTAGGATAATGACATACCTCTCTTCTGCATGAAGCTGAATAAATCATCCAGGAACTCTTTTCGCTTTGGATCGCTGTCCAATTCGTAAAGCTGTGAAGAAGGAAGAGAAAAAGACAGACAATGAAGAGTTAAGGCGCAACTGGGAACTGGATGAACCTGTATTAAAAGAAAAGAAGCAACAAAAATCTGTACATGAAACTGTAGCAATAAAAATCACGCTGGATCATTGAATTAAAAACAACGTATTTTGAGGGATTCATTCATATTAACCAATTGAGAAGGTCTGATTTACACATAATCTGTGGACCAGCTACCAGTTGTTACTCAGATTTCATGTATGTATGAGTCAAAGCAAGATGAGTGTTGCCTCACCAGTCTGTAACAGGGCGAGTTGTAGTTGGAAGAACTAACCTTGAATACTTTCAACCCTTAATTAGAATAGACTAACACTATACTGCCCTTGCATTCTGCCTATAGATGAATCAAACTGCACATGCTAGTTTGACTTGAATGGGGAATCCATACACTCAGATAAGTTGTGTTCAATAACTTGTGACCTTAGAAACAAAAAGCATAAGGTATAATTCATTGTGTATGTGTTTTAGATACAGTGTGATGAATGTTAGGCAGGGCTGAGATGTAATGGAAAGTATTATAAGTATTCAGAATATGTATGCAGAATACAGAAATTTAAACTATCTGCATTCACCCATGTTACATTTTGAAAAAGGCAGCATTCAGAGTAGAGTTACTTTTAACTTTTTTGCAGAATATTTAGAGTACACTCGTTAGACTCTAAAGAGGAACAGCTTATTGAAAATAGTAAAAAAATCAAATGTGAAAAATCAACATGAAGAGTAGGGGTGCAACGGTTATTTGACTTAGTTGACTAAAATCGACGACCAAATTAGATGGCAACTAATTTAGTAGGCAATTAGTTGGTGACGTCATTACATGTATATCTCACGCTCACTAGGAACGTTTCATCACCACTTACTGGAGAGTTAACAACAGCAGAAAAAAAAATCTGAAAACCTTTTTTTTTTCCTGAGTTATGCTATTTGTAAAGCCGACCTTAGCTGGCATGAGAGCACATCCTCCGTGCTGGAGCACCTGAAAAGGAAACTTGTCTCACTGGATGAAGATTCATCTCAGTAGGAATCGCCCTGTTCCAAACCGCATACTAGCACACTAAATAGTGTGTAAAAACAGTGCATATACCATTAGAAGTGAACTCATTAGTGTAGTGTGTGAAATGCAGCAGTGTGTGCTTTGGGACGAGGCGATAGTTGTGCTAACGAGTTAGTTAGTTAACGCTAACGTTAATGTTAAATTCCGTCCTACTTCATGTTGTGAGCCGAGCTGTAACATTTGTATTTGGAAATGCTGTTCTCTGGTATCGTTAATGGAGTTTGAACAGAGAAGCAAGTAACTGTTATTCACAGCGACTCTGTTCACTTTCCAGATACCGTTTACAGTTTTAAACGTCACATCGTTGTCTTAACGTCGAGGCCACCAGTGGGGTCAAATTCGGTGAACATAGGAGAGAGTTTACAAACAGGTTTCTGTTTTCCGTGAACGTTTAGCTCCACTCGCCAACAGTTTAAGGAGATAGTTCTCTGTGAACACACAGGGCAGCTGGACAAGGGGTTATCAATGAAATTAAGTGTTTACACAAAATCATTCAAATTTAACTGTTCATAGTGAAGTTTGCCACAATCGTTCGTCACTTTCCCCTCCGCTCCATCAGAGCACATCTTCCCTGCAGCAGGGAGTATCTGCTCTCAGAGGAGATCAGGCCTCTTACAGGAGCACGGAGAGATACTGACTTTCCTCCGTTTCAATAAAGACCTGTGATTGTAGAGTTTAGTTTCAGCAGAGTGTAGACAGACAGCAAAATGCACAGAGCACAGACTGCAGTTTAAAATTAACATCTAAATTTAGATTGATTTTTTTTTTTTATTTACTTGATCAAAGGAAAACGGATTTAGTTTCGTTATATTTTGCTACTTTGCACATCCTTCGTTATAAATTTTGACAGGAAAAATATATTGGGGTTTTATTCTTTTATCTTTTGTATTAGCAAGAAAGTTCATTAAAACAGTGAATTTCTGAATGTTAGTCATCTTTATTGTCTTCATTGTTAGTCAGCAAATGCATAAAACAAGCTAAGTTTAAAAACTAATAGCTACATAGAAGTTATTTGGTAATGTAGTGATTCATAATCCGAATAATCGATTATTCGTTTCGGTAATCGATAGATTATTCGACTATCAAATTAGTCGTTTGTTGCAGCCCTAATGAAGAGCCAGTTATTTATCTGAGCTTTACTGAACTGTTCTGAGGAAGGATGGAACTGAACAGTCTCCTCAGTAGTGGACATGTTCACAAGTGATAAGCTTAGCATGGTGCTGTACTGGTCTCATGCTTAGTGGATTGTGAGAGCAGCAAAGGACTCAAGCAGGCAATGAGAGCAAAAAAGAAATACAGGTTTTTAAGAAGTTTGGAACTTCAGTCAAACTTCATCAAACATTAACAGAACAATCACATGAAAAAAAAAATGTCAACCAGTAATAATGAGGAACCATGCAAAATAAGTAAAAAATACAAAAAAATACAAAATTGCCTTATTATTATTGTGATGTACTCTAAATGTTTTCTAAATGTATTCTGAATTTACATGGAATACATTACTTTGTGTATTGTAATGGAATATGATACTGCACACATTTACACCAGCTGAATTCAGTATTTGGCCATCACTGTTGTTTTCAAAGTATTCTGACTAACTCTGATGTTATGCTATGGACATGCTCACCTTGCCATTTTTCAAATACTGAGTTATACTTATACTTATTTGATAAGATGTGAGTTTTGCATTAATAAAAAAAAGGGACTGAATTTTGTTAATTAAGTCAGAACAATTAGATTTTTCCTGTGTTCAATCTAATCAAGACTGGCTGTTCAGATGACAAGTGCTTTCGATTTTTTTGTTATGGTACTGTTTTGATATTGAGCATTCAGAAACTACACTTCGTATCGGCATTTTACATGCATGAAACAGAATAAAGACATGATTTTGTCCTGCACTCCATCAGCTCCATCAGCTAAACACAGACGGCAGAACGGTTTAGTCATGCTGAAAGTAGCACTGATGATCTAAATGAAGATATCTGATCGTAAATGCACACTAGTGCTGAGCCCACAATGACTTAGCAATGATATAAAACGCACAAAAGGTCAAACATCCTGAAAATCCGGTATGAATCACACTGCTAACGTTCAGACGTGCGCCTGAGATGTGGGCAAAGACAAAAAAAAAAACCAACACTACCTGAAGAATTCACAATGATATCATGGCTGCCAGCGAGAAGGAACATACTGTTAGGTCATGTTTGGCCCATCAGACCAGTCGTGCTCACGTACAATTATTTTCTATGCAGGAAGCGATAGGAAAGGTTAATTCTTACATCTCTTGGGAACAAAACAAGGAGAGTTAGGCTTCAGGTCTGATAGTAGCTGATGTGAAGCAGTCTCAGAGGCCTATAGAAGGGGAGGAGAGGGTTGAATGACTGAGGGGGGATGGGCCGTAATGCAGCGCAGGCTTAATTACAGGATGCATGCATATTTGAGAAGCACCATACCATAAATCTCCTAAACGGCTCCCCTCCGTCTCTCTCTCGTTTTCTAATGGAATTCCATCAGTGCCGCCTTCCTTTAATTTACAAACAGGCCTTCCCTTTCCCAGCATTCTTGACCACTATACCACCAGAGAGAGCTGGAAGTGCTGCTTATCAGCTTCATCAGTTATCACCACCCAAAGTTCTTCATTGTAAGACCCTCGCATCCAGTGGTGGAATTGTGGAGAAAAAAAAAACAACAACAAAAAAAAAAGGGCTGGTGGTCTCAAATGACGAGGTGGTGGGGTGGCAGCTCAAAAACATCCAAGGTAGTGGATGGAAATAAAATCTGTATAAAGAATATCTTATGTGATATAACGACATTAATCTAAAGGGGGAAGAAATAGGCGTCAGGCATTTTTACAACGGGGACGATTTCTGTCATTTTATTGGCATCTCCTTGCATGCTCCCTCAAATTAAGCCCTGCTTGTATCTCAGAAATAGCAACTTCAAAAGAGAAGGAAAAAAACGTTCTTAACATCTGTTAATATTAAAAGTAAAGTGGCTTTTTTGGAGCGATTCCTTACAAGAACTACTTTTTATTCCCTAAAGAACATTTTAATGGACAACCAGTTTTGTAAACATTTAAACAACCTCCACGTAATGTAAAGGTTCTGCACTAATTAAAATTTCTTCCTAGAACCATACACCCAGGCCAAGTACCGTGTAAGAACCTTGGTGCTTCCCACAGGTCTGAAACAAACCTGGGGGTGGGGGATGGGGCATTATTTGAATATACGAGTCTCCACAATTAGCATTTTTGTAATGACGAAATCAGAAACAAAAGCTTCTTTTAAAGTCAAAGTTTAGGCAACGGAGGCAACCACAGGACAAAAGAGTGATGTTTTGCATCAGTTACACAGTGTGCTTTGTTTATTCATAACATTTCTGAAATATGTTCTTGTTGGAATTTGCCTAAATGGGACAAGATGAAAACTGGATATTGGTGAAAAAAATAGCTGTAAGAATAATAGTTTTTTGTATCGAAATCACAATTTAAAGAGTGCAATTTTTAAGTCGCAAGTGCTTTTAATTCTAACCTACATTATCAACAATGTTGTCTTAAGTTTAAAGTGGGGAAATTTAACTTAACGACACAGCTTGTGAACCGCCTGTAGATGTGTTAGACCAATCAGGAGCAACCAAATACCTACGTGATGAGTACATGACTGCACATGGCAGTCTGGTGCACTGAGTTCAGCATTCAAGCAGAAAAATGTAGATATGTTGGTCTTAGGCAAAAAACAGAGGTCTGGGCCTAATAGTACTTAAATAAATAAATAAATAAATAAATAATCAATCAGAATTTAAGTTGCTATATAGTTCTGCAAAATCGCAATTAGATATTTTTTCCCCAAATCATTCAATCCTAATTAAAATGGAACAAAATGTACTTGGATGGCCATCAA